AAATTAGATAAATTTCAAGATCGTTTTAATTATCTAAAATAATAAGAAAGCTGAGCCTATGTCTTATTAATAAAAATACCATAATCCTATTCCCTAGGAATATTTCGTCAACGACGCGATTTATTGACAATTGTTCTCGATATCGCTGAAATGGGAAAAAGTATCGACGAGATTTCCTGTGTGTAACAGATCGATATTCCTTTTGCGCGCTTTCGCGCGAAAGAGAGGATTGGAGGAAATCGTGGGAGTGTTAAACCGCGCTGCACATGCACGATAAGGGAGGGTAAGAGAAACTACGCGAAACACAAGACGTGGGAAGAACCTTTATACCGTTCACGGCCACTGATGCGGAATAACTCGTCCCACCAGCAACGTTGCTAGCTGTGCAGGTATATTCTCCGGCGTGCCGCGCCGTCACGGCATCGATCGTGAGCAGACTGACGCGTTTGCTGGTACTGACTATCGTTATGTCGGGATGATCTCGAGAAATTGGCTCGCCGTTGAATGCCCACTCGATCTGGATCGGGTGATCGCCCTTCAACAGCGTGCAAGTTCCGGTGATTGTTTCACCCCAATTCGCCGGTCCCTCGCCGATCACGAACGGCATAATTTCAGGGGCAACTACGAGAGCATTTTAATCAACGTCCTATTTTCGCCCTTATTTTCAGCAAGCTCCAAATGCGACTTCTCGCCAGATCCTCGTACAATTCACATCGTTTCTATTAATTTAATCGAAAATTTTAATGGACAGTAAAACCTAATATACCTCAATCCATCTTACAGTGTCAACAGCGCAGCCTGTCAAACTTAAGAACGCGAAGGAGCGTGATGGGACCTCTTGGGAGTGAGCGTGGTAAACAATGCCTCTTGGGAATGAGAGGTAAACAATGTTAGTGTCAAATTATGTGAATGACTCGCACATGCACCCAAGTTAATAAAAACTTCGAAGAAACGTCGTATTGTACCATTGACAGCTAAGGAAGCGGAAAAGCTCGTCCCGCCGGCGGCGTTACTGGCTACGCAAGTGTATTCTCCGGCGTGGCTCGCCGTAACGGCGTCGATCGTGAGCAGGCTGACGCGTTTGCTGGTGACGACTGTTATATCGGAAAAATCATGAGAGATCGGCTGGTCATTGAGCGCCCACTCGATCTGTACCGGTTGATCTCCTTTCAGAATGGTACACGTCGCAGTGACTGTCTCTCCCCAATTCGCTGGTTTTTCACTGATCACGAAAGGCGCTATCTCCGGAGCAACTAAAGTGGAAAAACGATCGATCGTGTAACGACTAATCTACTCTGAATTGCTGACGTAACATCGGCGGGGTACGATAAAGTAACTTTATATACGATCTGACGACGTTCTTGAAGACCGCGATTGACCATCGACGACAATTTCGGAGGGGACGATAATGACGGATAATAGGCGATGATAGGATGCGGAGGTTCAAAGGCGAATGCACAGGAAATCTCTCGGGCGAGATGTACCGTTCACAGCTAAAGTCGCCGAATGACTGGTCGCTCCGGCTTTGTTCGACGCCGAGCACGTGTATTCTCCTGCGTGTGTCGCGGCCACGGACTCGATGCTGAGGATGCTATTCTTCCGCGTTGTCGCCAAGATATTAATGTCCGTACGATCTGGCCGGATCGGTTCGCCGTTCAACGCCCACGTGATCTCGATCGGCAAGTCGCCCTTGAGGATGGCGCACACCACGGAAATGGAATCACCCCAGTTTGCTGGCTTCTCGGCGACAGCAAACGGCGAGATTTGCGGTGCGACTGCAACGAGTTCCACGTATTTCTCTTCCCTCTTTCTTTTGCCCCGCGTAAACCGTCAATCTTCTTGACAACTCAATTATCTCGATGCGATGCGGCAAGGTCGGAGAAAGATTTTGAAGAGGAACGGGAAATATGAGTAGAAATGTCGGATAGTTGCCATTGTGCTGTCATTCTTTTCGTATAGATTAGTCCGATTGCGTATGTGAATTTCGATCGAGCAGGAAAGGAAGAAATGAATAGAAAATAAGGGCGATTCCAGCAAAATCGACATTCGTTTCTAACGACTATCGTAGGTACCGTTAACTGTCAACTCTGCGGAATAAGTGGTCGCGCCAGCAGCATTGGAGGCAACGCAAGCGTAAGTGCCCGCGTGACTCGGACTCGCAGAATCTATGGACAGCAGGCTGTTCCTCTTGGTTGTGGTCACGGATATTCGATGATTCTCCTCGATAGGCATTCCATTCAACGCCCACGTAATCTCTAACGGGGAGTCGCCGTTCACCACCGTGCAAACCACCGAGACGGAATCGCCCCAATTTACCGCCCTGTCGGCCATTTCGAAAGGGGCGATGCGCGGCGGTACTGTCAAGATTTACAGAAGGCTCATATACAGAATCGAGGACAGAATAAGCGAAATGACGCGTGAGAAGAAGCGCGAGAAAATTATTGCTCGTAAAAATCTCGGCCTCACTTACGATTCTCTTTCGAGGTGCAACTTGCTTGAAAGCATTCTAAGTATAGAAATTTCAACAAAGAAACATAATTAATATATCACGATATTCTAAGGCATAACTCAGCTGCTGATACGCGATATCAATTGTATCTCAAAGCTGCGGCGCATTACCGTACAAACGCAATTTTTCCTGAGTGCCATGAAGCGCGCTAAGAGAAGCATAGCTTGGCGTGTTTCCGTGCGTCCAACCAACCACCCAACCGTCATTGGTTCAAACTGAACAAGCGTACCGTTCACCGAAAGAATCGAAGAGTGGGTAGCGGTGCCGGCCGTGTTGCTCGCAGTGCACGAGTACTCGCCCGCGTGTCTTGCGGCTACCGATTCGATCGTCAGTTGGCTGGCCCGTTTGCTACTCCTGCTTATCACTATGTCGGGATTGTCGTAATTGTGCTCGTCGAATGCGCCATTCGCGGCGCCGATCGCGCGCCCGTTAAACGACCACATTATGTCGATCGGCAGATCGCCTTTTATCACGGCGCACTGAACGGTCGCCATCTCCCCCGCGTTGGCCGCTTCGTCACCGAAGGTGAAGGGCGCCAGTTGCGGCGCGACTGCAACCGCGAAGGACGCACTCGTGAATCACACGTAAATACTTTCCGAGTGGCACCTAAACACACTCGTGGCCGTGGCAGAACCAAACTGGGCGACTCACAAAACGCACTTCAAGCTCTCCAGAGGGAAGATCGGAGAGGGATAAGAAATTGGTAATTGACATAGAACAACAATGTAATGAGAAAGCGATATGGGAAAAGACCTAAATAAAAAAAGAAAAAAAAATATATACATAATAGGCCATCGTTTCGCTGTCGCTGCGGGATGGACCTTGTCACTGGCTGTCGTCGTCTTTGACGATAATCTCGCTTCACTAAGATGCTCTATGTCGCGAGATTATCGTATCAACGACGACAGTGAGCGCGGAAATTACTTAATCGATATTACTGCGGAGATACAAAAAGTTACAGAAGAATAACGAAAATGTATATACAGGTTTAAGGCAGTTAGTTTTGCTTTTACATATACGAGCGCGGTACCGTTCACCGAGAGTACAGCGGTGTGACTGTCGGATCCGGCGGCATTGGTCGCAGTGCATTTGTATCTTCCAGCATGTCTTGCCGCCACACTGTCGACGCTCAAGGAGCTGACCCTCTTATTGGTCACGATATTAACATCCGGCCGACTCGAGTCGATCGGGATGTCGTCGAACGTCCACGTCAATTTTACGGGAAAGTCGCCCTTGACTATCGTGCAAATAACCGACAGCATCTCGCCGGAGTTGAGAGGATCGTCGCCGAAGGAAAACTGAAGGATCTGTGGCGCGACTGCGCGAATGACACAGCAGCGCAGACGGAAGGACATAATGAAAGACAAAGAACGTGGGGAGGAATAAATAATAAAATTTTATGTATGAATGTTAAATGAACTGAAAATTATCGCACGTTTTCATCATTAAAAGAGAAAAAGATATATAAATAAGAAATTAGTAGAATTTCAGAAAATAGTAGTCCGGTTATATAATTAATAACTAAAAAATTTTATGATAAAAATTAATCAATGAAATTTGTGCTAATAACGGTGAAAAAAGAAAGTTCTTTTGCACAGCCATATCCGTGAATGTTTAGTAATTAGCTACGATAATCAATCACTTGGACGATGCGTTAGGAAGACGAGGAAGACAATGCATGACAAAAAGATGGGCGAACATTCACTGCTTCCGTGAAATTCGATTGCATGTACCGTTTACAGCCAGATGAGCCGTATGTGCGGTGGCACCGACGCGATTGGACGCAGTACAGGCATAATCGCCGGCGTGTCTGGCCGCGACCGATTCGATAGTTAAGACACTGTTCTTTCGGTTTGTGCTGCCTACTACGATGTCGGAGTCGCTACTGTCAATCGGCGTCCCGTTAAAAGTCCAAGTTATTTCGATGGGCTGATCGCCCTTCGTGACGGAACAGGTGACTGAGACCAGCTCGCCCCAGTTGGCCGGTTCATCCCCGAAAGCGAAAGGCAGTATTTGCGGGGCAACTGGAAAGAGCGACTGCGAGAAACGAGACAAGAAAGAGCGTGTGTCGGTTCGTGAGGCGACGGGAAATCCTCTAATTTCACGACGCATTTTTGCACGTCTCGATCGTGATATTCCGCTTCGGGATCGTTCGGTCAAGCGCAACGTGGACGAGCAGATAAGGTTGGTATGGCGGTGGAGTATGCATTTGTTTCGTCAAGAGATCTTTCGGCAAGGACGATGGGTGATTCGAGGTAGTTGATGGATGAAGGTACTCGAGGTTTCGTGACAATAATGTACAATGAATCTATTGTTGCGACGGGAACCGTGCGGAGGGGATTTAGGGTCGTACCGTTGACGGTCAAAGTTGTCGATCGACTGACGGAACCGGCTAGATTCGACGCGGAGCAGGCGTACTCGCCGGCATGGCGCGCCGAGACGCCGTCGATGCTGAGGGTGCTCAAGTGCTTGCTGATTTTGGTGATCGTGATACCCGTGTCTTTCGACGTGTCGATCGGTACGCCGTTGAACGCCCACGATATATCCATGGGCATGTCGCCTTTCAGGATCGAGCAGGGCACGGACACGGAGTCTCCCCAATTGGCGATTTCGGCATTGAAAGCAATGGGCAGAAGCTGCGGCCCGACTAAACGTGTCATCAAACAATCATGCTTTATTCACAGCGGTGTCTGCGACATCGTGGAATACTTGCGGCAATTTTAGTCGACACCTGTCAGTCAGTCAACTGATTTGTCGACCGTTGCATTAAAACTATTGGAGGATTAAAATGGGCGGAGGATTCAATAACATTGACGCATGGCAAACGAGGGAAAAAAACTATGGTGCTGTTTGCAAGATCTTGTGCAGGAATGAGATGAAAGGTGACAAAACGCAACTGAAGAATGAAAAAGACTGTGTTCTCTAGGAACTGATCGTAATCCCGAACCATTGACGGTGAGGATGGTCGAGTGGGACGCCGTTCCAGCCGCGTTTTCAGCGGTACAAACGTACTCCCCCGCGTGTCTCGCGGTGATGACCGAGATCATGAGCATGCTAACGCGATCCGCGACCTTCTTCGCGAGTACGCCAGAGGAACCGCCCATCTCTTCTCCGGGATAACTCCAACGTATGTTCAACGGCAGGTCGCCGGTCGGCACGATACACTGCAGATTCGCAAACTCCCCGGCGTTCATCGGTATCTTGGTGAACGCGAACTCTTGAACGACGGGCGGCACTGAGGATGGAGGACCGATGTATGGATGCATACGATTAGGTCGCGTAATGTGTGTACCCGCATATAAAGCCACGCTTATGAATGCCATAGATATTTTACATTGTATATTAACTTCAACAAAAATATTTGAATTTCACAATCGATTTTTTTTAATTCGAAAGTTTTTATCCTATTTTAGCTATACATTTAATCAATATTAACATTGTAAGAAAAAAAATTCGATATCTTATATTCCAAAAATATAGAAAAGAGACATTTGTTCATCGAGACATAAAACAATATCTATAACACGCACGAGCGCATGGCACTTGTTACTACACGAGATAAACGCGCGATGGGAGAAGAGATCTGAATTAAAAACAAGCGCATGAGAGCTCTTACTAACGATTCAATCGACCACCGCCATACCAACTCCAATACTTTCCACGAATGCGTGTCTTCTCTGTGGGCCGACGTACGTTTGCTCTACGTTATTAAGTGGTCGTAATGCCGGCAACGGGATCGTCTGTGCGCGTGTCCGAGTCCGTGCCCGTGTCCTACGTACAGTCGCATTCTTTAGAATTTACGACACGTTTCCTACACGCGCAAACGACACCCTCAAAAAAAAAAATAAAAAATAAAAAAATAAAAAAAAAATATATATATATATATATAAATAAAAATAATCCGCCGACACTTTCGGCTCGGTGTTACGTTCAACATGGCGACATAAAAGTTTAATGGCGACTATAACAGACACGACAATCCGCTGCAAAGGGAGTAGCTGTAAATAAATGTTCGCTATTCTAACATTATCGTAGTTATCTTGTCGATTGGTCAGCTGGTTGGCCAATGGCTGCAAATGTAAATGTATTTTTCGTTTCCGAAAATATTAAGAGACACGTTACTCCGATAAAGAATTAACTGCCCAATGTAAAACAAAAATTCGTTTTGCATATGTGCTATTTGCGTTAAAATTAATTAAAATTATTGTTAGTAATAGAAAGAGAACTTTTTCGATGTACGAATATTTCAATATAACGTTCAAATATTTACATTATGATATTAAATCAATTTTATGTTAAAATTCAGTTCTGTGAACCGTCGAAAATTGCGTGACATTTTTCCAAATTTTGCAATGACGAATAAAAATAAAAATCGATACTTTTTGTAACATTTATAAAAGACCGATTAATTCGACCGAAGTGATATTATGCGATTAATTTTATAAATATAAATATTACACGCGATTCATTTTATAAATATCGATGTTATGCGAAAAAAATATAAGAAAGGAAAGTTTTTCGAACTTACCCATGACTTGTACTTCTAGTGTTCCGCGTGCGCTGTAACCTTGTGCATTGCGTGCTACGCAGGTGTAAGTCGCTTGATCACTCAATCGTTCGACGTTCTCGATGATGAGTGTGCCATTGGGGAAGACCTTTTGCTTTCTGTTGATCGGCAGGACTCTGGTGTCTCGTTCCCAGACAATGCTCTCGATCGGGTATCCAGCAACGGGACAGGTGACACGCAGAGTTTCTCCAGCAACGATGGCCTTCTTATCCATGTGGCGAATGAACGGCAAACCATAAACGTTGAGGCGGGCGGAATGCTCAGCGGATCCGACCTATCAGACAAAATCATACATCACATATTTTATTTAGAGTTATCAAAACACTTGTGAAATCTATTGAAAAATATGCTAATGAAATATGCTAATATTTTAATTAATGTATCAATTTCTGAATTTAATTAATTTAATTTCAATTATTCTCTGTTGCATTTATATTTTTATTCAAAATATATTTATTAATCATTAATAAATTTATTAAACGTGTTGTAAATACAAAATTATATTGTTATTTATTTTGATTAAATAATTCTTATAGCAGAAAAACAAAAGAACCAACCTTTGATGCAGCAATGCACTTGTAAAGTCCACCGTCATTGGTATGAATGCTCGAAATATTTAGATGCGACACGACATCACCATTGACCGTGACGTATTGTCCCACTTGCAATCTCTCGGTGTTCGACAGCCGTTTTCCATCAAGTTCCCAGGTAATTTCGGGGGTAGGATTTCCACTGGCAACACACTTCAAAAACATGCTCGGTCCAGGCTGAAGAGTCTCTTCGGTAAAAGCTTGACGAATCTGCGGGGGCTCGACTGTCGATAATCAAAGAGACGGGAAAATAATTCCATTGACAGCCATAGCATTACCTTTCATACATTCGTTAAGCCAGTTTTTTTTTAATTGACAACTTGGTATTTAAAAAAAAATATATTTTGCTCCAATAAGAATAATCCAAGTCAAAATTCATAAAGATGTTGCGCAACGTTTATATGTTACAAATAAAACATTAATGATTTAAGTAATTAAAAATTTGGAAATATGTTATATAAAAGTTTAACTCACATCTTCCACCAAGTTTTAATTCTGCCGTTGCCTGCGCGCTTTCCTGATCATTTCTAACGAAGCATTGGTACATTCCTTTATCCTCCTTCTTCACGCTCTCAATTCTCAGCACGCGGTCCTCCAATCCAAGGGGCTTTCCATCCTTAAGCCAGGAAATGGTCTTGATCGGATTGCCTTGGACGGCGCAGGTGAAGGTCGCGGGTCTTCCAAAATCGATAGTCTGCGTACTCGGTTCGATTTCCGCGTTCAATGGTGCCGTAACAGTCAAAACAGTCTCCACGCTTTCGCCGCCGACGGAATTGTTGACAATGCAGAGATATTTACCGGAATCTTCGACCCGTGCCTCACGGATTATTAGAGTGCCGCTAACTTGACGTACGCGCTCATTCAACTGGACCGGTTGACGTCTTGACGTCCCTTCGATAAACTTGTACCATCTGAAACAAAAAGATAAAAACTGCCGATTTTCGCGCTCACGCCGGAACGAGAATCGTTCCGTATCTTTTGTACTGTTATTATTTTTTCTTAGATCACAATTTATTTCGCAAAATGGAACAAAAATATTATTAAAAACAGTTGCAGAGTGTTGAAAATGCATAATTTTAAGAACAAAATAATGTGTTCTTTTTTTAGGTTTAGAACTGTAAAAATAAAAAAAATTTTCAAAAACAGTTAAAATAATATTAAAGTACAAGTTTCAAGCTTTAAAATGCTTTTTTAATTTTTTATCTGCGATAATTTTTCGCCGAGTTACAGCGATTTGAAAATTGCTAAATTTTAAACGTCAGAACGTTTCGACGCGGCAGAACAGTGCGGCTGACTGAGTGCGCGCGAATGGTGCGCGCCATTAATACGGCATCGTGCGTATCAATGGCGCACACTCAGTCAGTTTCGGCTGTATTTTGCCGCGTCGAGACGTTCAGACGCTTAAAATTGACCAATTTTCAAACTGCTGTAACTCGGCGAAAAATAATCGCAGATAAAAAATAAAAAAAGCATATTAAAGCTTAAAACTTGTACTTCCACATTCTTCAGATTGTTCTTAAAAATTTTTTTATTTTTACAGTTTTAAGCAAAAAAGAACACATTGTTTTATTCTTACTTACTTTCAACACTTTGCAGCTCAATAAAATGGATGGATTTGAAAAAGACAATTGCATAATAAAAACAATATGCAAATTATGGATACAAAATGCAAGCTAATTAAAAGATTAATAAAAATTTATTACGCTTACAATTAATTTAAGACAATCGACTGTTGTTTAATTAGAAAGTAACTAAATATTATTTAACAATAGATTAAAATTAATATTTAATAGCAATAAGATGCAAAATGTAATATTTAGAAAATAGCTCATCTTTTATTTATTTATCATAATAAATTCGATGCTCAAAATCGAGTAATTTTCAAATCGCTTAAACTCAATGAAAAATTATCGCAGACAAAAAATTAAAAGAGTATTTTAAAGCTTGAAATTTGTCGAATCAAAATAAATAAAAGATGCGGCAATAAATTTTGACAGTACGATAATACGATAACGTTATTTGTTCCATTTTACTATTGCCTTATTCTATATGCGGGGCTTTGGGCGTCTCTGGGCACGGCCTTTCATCTCTCTTCCACCGATTTATCGGTGTTACATCTCTCACGCGAGATAAATTTGTACAAGAACAAAATTATAATTCAAGAATAAAACAAGACGCTTCTACTGTAGCCTTACGATCGAGAAGCGATGCAAATGGGGCGCAACGGAAGAACAAAGATTGGCGGCGACGATGGACGATTAAAAGTAAAAAAAAATGCTAATAAAGGTCTTCTCGTGTTTTGCCGTAAAAAATCCCTAAGAAAGGAGGTGAGAGGCGACTGCAGCGTGAAAGCAAGTACGAACGACTCTACTTGATTCTTCGTGCGATTGTTTCGCAACGGCGCTCGTTGACTAAGGCAGGAAGAGGGAAAAGAAATGCCAAAAATTCAGAAAAAAATGACGTAACCAAGCGATCACAGTAGCGATTTGACGTGGCTGTTGGACGCAAGTGCTAGAGTGCAAGGACACTTTCATACTTGGCTAAGCAACAATATCTCATGTAACGATATTGCAATGAAAAATTATGAAAAAAAATTCTTTCTTCAGTATTGAAGATCAATCAATTTCAGAATTGCAAATAGGTGACCTAATCGAAGTTACGAGATATTGTCGGGTAAATATAATCACAAGTGGCGGATGGTGGAAGGCGGTCGGAACAGGGGAGCAAAAGTGGTAACTGGTGAACTGGCGGTACGTTTAATGGCGATAGTGCAACTGGACGACGTGAAAAAAATGTTAAGGCTCGATCCTCCTCAGCCACTCACACACGCGCAATGTATACATGAACAAACGATCCGCTTCTTTACCTTTCCTGCTGAACAAGTGAGAGAGAGAGAGGGCGGGGAATGAATTAACACGAGCGGATGAAACGGAGGCACGAGAAGGTGGCGAGGACTTACCAGCCAGATATTGTGGGACTTATTTGGAGGTGTGCAGGTGTAGGGCAACATTGACTGCCCCATTGATCGGGTGATGCCCTCTCGGACCACCCGGATCAGCACCGAGGATACCGGGGGAGCAGAGGGCCCGCATCCTTTTCGAGGTCGCGCTTCCGTCACTTATCTCGAGGGTTGCGCCGAAGGGGGGAAGGATCCAGTTGGCACTGAAAACCAACACGTCCAATTGGCCCCGAATCAGGGATACACATTTCGTCGATTAACGCTATCGCTTGACTCGTGTAACACCGCGCAGTTTATTCTCGGAACTGAAAGGCCGTCGAGATCGTCGAGTCATCGTACGAAAGTTGGGAACAAAATTTAACTCTTGTCAGCGGTAATTCCTTTCTTAAAATTCTCTTCTTTTTTTTTCCTCTTTCTCTAATCTATGCTCTCTCTCATTCTCTTTCTTTATCTTCCTCCTTCTCTATGTTCTATATACTCTTTCTCTCACGTTCTCCGCCGAATTTTAACGATACATTTCCTCTCTAATCCTGGTTTTTTTTACAATGCACTCTACCAAAAACATGTCCGTTCTTTCGTCTTGCCCCTGTCGAATCTTACGGTACCGCCACCCGACACGGGGTAGAGGGTAAGGATGGAAAATATCAAAAATGAATACGGAGGATCTGTGCCCCGCGAAATGTAAGACTACGTCCAAATCAGGAAGAACAGAGATTTATACGGAGGTGTGTACCTAGTTATCGGGGCAGGAAAGCCTTGTGCCGCACACGCCAGCGCCAGAGACTCGCCCTCTACCCCGCGGTACTTATTAAGACCGTCTCCAGTCGCCTTCGGGGCAGTACGACCAGACGGCTCTGAAATAAATAGATTGCCCAAACTGAGAGCTTCGTTTCTCTCTTCGTAACGTTTCAATTCCGCTCTATTCTTTATTTCCATCCCGGAATCGGTCTGTGATGTTCGATTTCAGCGACTAAAAATTTGATTATACGTACCCCGTACGCCATCGCGTTCGTCCTGGCTTGACTCGGTGGAATTGCATGCAATTTACTCACCTGACTATGATGCCAATCACGCCAGATGGAGAATGGATTTAATTAGAGCTTCATAACAGCTTTACATCTGATATTTATTACACGACGCTTATCTGAATATAGCATTGATATAATGCTGTGTCTAAAATATTTTTCAGTGTTTATATTTACTTTATCTTACTTTCAGATATAAGCGTCAAGTGAAAAATATAGATGTAAATTATATATTAAACCGGTGTCTACTTAATTCCATTCACAACATTCCGTAATACAGAATTTCAATCATTTTGTTCATCTGTTTTAATTTTTTAATTTCTTTAATGAGAGTATAATTCTACGTGAATATTCAATCTTGGCGAGTTGCTATAATTTGATTTGACTCATCGACGATGACGATGACGATAAAAAATGGAAAAACGATGAGAAAAAAACGGATTCGGAGGAGGACCAGAGTCTACCTTGTAAGAGGTACAGGATATCCCTGAAGCGAATGACTCAACGCGACGTCCTGATTTTTAGCAGTCAGAACAACTTCCCATCCCTCAAACTTCCTTCCCGATGATCGCGGCGCAATTTTACTTGTACCCTCTGAAATAGGATCATGAAAAAAGCATAGGTTTTCCGCGATTTTTCGATTCGATATACCTTGTCAATGGGACAGGAAAACCCTGAGTCTCGCAGTCCAAAGCCGCCTTACTTGTTTTTGGTACATCTACTAGCTTGCCACCCTCATAACGTTCACCGGCAATGCGTGGCGCGACATTGCTAGTCGGTTCTGCAAGAAGGATCGGTGCGAAAACGAGCTAGCATAGCAGAAAATAGATTTTTGCTCTATTGCTGAAATTTTACTATGTTTTAATTTCAATAATATAAAAACTGCCTTGAGTATAAAACAAAAAAGCAACAATTATAGTTTTTGTCTCAATAGATTTGATTTTCTCGCAGAATTGTATTGTAGTTTAAGTTTCTGCGTGTATTTCGAAATTGTTTGTAACACAATTTTAATTTGCTTCGCGATTTGTCGATCGGCCTCTAAATGCCTGTACCTGAATGCAGGAGCTGGGAAACTCTGAACGGGACACGATAGACCGACCATTCGTTCGACTAGGATGTCCTTCCTCAATCCGTTCACATCTTTGTCTCGTACGTTTGGACGTACGCTGCCCCGCGGTTCTGCAATAGCGCAAATAATGGGAAAATGGGGAACGGAACGCCACCATCATCGTCGTCGTCATTAATGAGCTCAATTGTTGATGCACGGCACGCGGAACGCGGATGTTGTAAAATGTGAAGATAACGATTGATTACTATTTTTATTTATGTGAATCACGTCAAATGTCATATTTTCTTCTGTAAAAACTTTTTATTGAGTTTTATATCAAAACTTTTTTAACTATTGATAAATTTTGAAAATTTAATTTTGCAATGTAAATTTTGAATAAATTGTAACGATTTTATGCTAAATTGCTCGACCTTGCTCACCTGAACAAAGGCGACGGACTGGCCTGAGCCTCGCAGAGCAACGTTACTGCTTGACCCACGATTTTCGTCATTCCGTCAAATTTGGATCTAGGCGGCAATCGAGGCGGACTACCTCCAACCGGTTCTAAAAACGAAAAGGGCGAGGAGTTCACCAGCTACCGAGGTGTCAATCGATATCTTCACATATCTGTTTTAATCCGAAATACATGATCGGCAAGATGCATTTCAATAAAAGCGAATCTCAGTGTTTCTCGACGTTTAAAAATATTATTTAAATTAATAGTGTCCAAAGAAAATATCTGCTATTTTTTCTTAAATAGATAAATAATAGATTGAATAAAAGATTTTTTTTACATATGAACAAATGCTAAGACAATCCTTATTCACATCCCTTTAATTAATTTTTATTCAATTCTTATTCTAAAAAAATTCCTATCAAACAGCCAACATTTGCGTCGTCGGCATATGTCGGCATACCTGAAGAAAGGAAGTGGATTTGCTTGAGCCTGACATAGCATCGCCACAGCAGTTTGCGATGCGATTGAAAGGACAGTTATTTTAGCTGTCGGTGGCACTTTCGGTGCTGCGCCATTTACTGGCTCTAAATACACAAATATTAAGGCGATGAAACAAGCCGAGATATCCTATATTGATTGACATGTGTCATCTGAGCTGATCCTCTAAGAGAAGGAAGCTATTTAATATCAAAGAGATATCTCGATTCGAGAATCTCGTAAAATTGATGAAATGAAGAAAGACCTCTGCTACAGACGTCAGCAATAATAATCGTAATATACCTATAAGCTGGGAGAGGATGTCCCTGCGCAGGACACAGCATTGTTACAGCTGCTCCAACGACACTCGCAAGAACATCATATTTAGACGTGGAAGCAACTCTAGGCTTGGCACCATTTACCGGCTCTACAGAACGATAACGTTACGAAAACTATATTGTATCGACTAAAGAACAAGCACTTGAAAAATATTTAGTAACAAGCTAATTAAATACATCGATAAACTGACCTAAATGCGGGAGCAGGGAATGCTTGTGCATCGCACAATAAACTGATTTCGGCATCATTCGCCACTTCGAAGGAATTGGATTTCGCAGTTTTCGGAAATTTTGGAGCGACATGACCTGCTGGCTCTAACGCGTATAAATGAAATTTGTGTTATTTCTCTTAAAATAATACATTTGCACCAGGATGGAACGCGCCACCGCCTTATTACATTTTTTATTAAAAAATTGAGAACAAAAGCTGCTTATAATATAAAATTGGAACAATCTAATTAGGTAAATATGTCGATGGACTGACCTAAATGCCGGAGCAGGAAATGCCTGTGCGTCACACAATAAACTGATTTCGGTATCAGTCGCCACTTCGAAGGAATTGATCTTTGCCATTTTCGGGAATTTCGGAGACACACGACCTGCTGGCTCTAACGTGCAAACAGAGTTTGTTATTTATTTTAACACATCTACGTTAGATGGAACGCGCCACCGTCTTATATTTTTCATTAAACGTCTGATAAAATAAAAGTAGAAATACGAACTGCGCGCCAAATATATTTAGCAAAATCTATTTTAATAATCTGTTAACCTATTAATCTACTAGGTGTTGGAATTAATTCGTAGCGTTTTTTTGCAAAATTTCGTGGTTTATTATGCAAGTATCATTACAGTGGCGTCATTCAAAGTATTGTCCATCGTTATCCACTACTTTTTGCCATCTTTCTGGCAAAGCACGGATACCACGTCGGAAAAATTCTTCGTCTTTAGATTCGATGAATGAATCGATCCAATTTTTAGTCATTTCGTAGTTGTCAAAGTGCTGCTCTGATAAGCCATGCGCCATGGATCGGAACAAATGAAAATCAGATGGAGCAATATCCGGGGAATATGGCGGGTGAGGCAAAACTTCCCATTTTAGCGTTTCCAAATAAGTTTTCACGACTTTCGAAACATGAGGTCTCGCATTGTCATGGAGCAAAATTACTTTGTCATGTCGATCTTTATAT